AAAAAAAAAAAAAAAAAAAGAGCCCACAACCTAATCTCTTCAAACACCGCGCCGAGGGAGAGTTTAAAGTCCACTTTAATTTTACCCAGGTCCAGTTTCCTCCGAAACACCTGGAAGCCGTCCTCCGGCGGAAAGAAAGCGACTTTGTGTGCTCGTGTTTGTAGAAATTGTCCTGCGAGCCTAAAACACAAACCAGCCATTGTGTGGGCCTGTCTAATTCGGGCCCTGGAACCCGAGCGCTTTTGGAAAACTCCTCGGAGGTAACAGTAGCTGTCAAACTCAGTGAGCACGCGCTGCAGAAAGCGTCCTGGAGACGCGCACGGGCGCGCAGGGGCAGAAATGGCGAGGGACCCTCGGGAAGGGCAGGCAGTTGGGCATTTCCCGTTGAAAGCTTATGGTGGTGACAGTGCAGGGATCATATGGCCAAAACTGGGTCCCTTTTTTCTCCTACTTTCACATCTCAGTCTTTATCTCAATTTCTTCTACTCCTAGGCTCAGGTCATTGCTTCTCATCTATTTTCTTCGAGGCCAGATAATCTGATAAATTAACCCATGCTATGATTAGTGCTGAGGTTTTTTTTTTTTTTGTTTTTTTTTTTTTTTTTACCCACTAAACACAACATGTTATATTTTAAAAGGTTTTTTAGAGACAATATTTAATTTTTGAATTTATTCTTTGGGCTCTTTCCGAACCCCTTCCTCCCGCCAAGGGCTTCTTCGGCCTTCCTGTGCAGACCGTTTCCCAAGTCTGATTAACTGAGTAAGTGGGAGTTTCCATACACACCCCGTGGCTTTTGGTGCCCTTCAAACCACTGAAGGGCAGCCAGCACAGCCTGCCTTTCCTGAGGGCTGGGAAGAGAAGAGGGAGGCTAGCTAAGCTTTGGAGAGGCCTGGAGGAGGTTCCTGGGATATGTTGCCACCCCACAGAGGAAGGTAGGCCTGTTGCACCTCTGGGAGATCCTCTTTAAGCCATCCTGCTGAATTTCCACCGTGGGCTGTTGGGGGACCAAACATTTCGGGGGGATAATGTGATAATGTGATAATGTGAGGTCTGGACAGGTCTTCGCTATTCACCATGGCATTATACACGACAGGAGATTTTAGCTTTTAGCATCCCTCGTTTTATCCCATTGAATTTTAAAAGCATCTTCCTTCCCCTACTGCTGCCTGCCAGTCACTGTGGCAACCAACATGCTTCCCACACGTTTCCAAATGTGTCTAACAACCCTGGTGAGAGTTATTGACTGGTTTTTCCCCCCTAGGGATTGAACCCAGGACTTTGTACATGCTAGTTGGATGCCACAACCGTACTAGATGAGATTTTTAAAAGTCTTGTTTAAGTATTTATTTTATGTGTATAAATGTTTTGTTTGCCATAGGTCCTCTAAGACGGAATTACGGATGGCTGTGGGCCACCACGTGGGTGCTGGGAACCAAGCCCAGGTCCTCTACAAGAGCATGAAGTGTTATCACCTTCAGACACGTCTCTTTTAAGGCGTTAGAAACTTCTCTACAGAAAGCAAAATATGTCCACTGGCCTCACCTTCAAAAAGGCTAAGCGATCTTGGGCCTCCACTGATCGGATCTTGATTGTTGTTAAAAAATAATGCTGGCATGCCCCGGCAGGCTCGCAGAGCAGCTGCTAGTCCGACACGGACGGCTGTGGGTCCCTGCAAGATCCCCACGGTGGCAGGCTGGTCCCGCCATGCGGCCCAGAGAGCAGGCGGGTGGGTGCGGACATAATACATAATAAATAGACGTAAGGCTAAACATAAAGGTAAACATTTATTACTTAAAGAAGAGGGAGACAGAGAGACATGGAGACAGACATAAAGAAGACACAGAGAAGACACATGTGCACACACCGAGAGAGGGGGACAGAAGAAGGGGCTAAGATGGCGAGGAGGGGGTCAGAAGTGGCTGCGAGTGGGCGTGGCTTGCCCTTAAAGGGACCAGAGCAAAAGAGTAACATTGATTCCAGAATATATTGTGTGCGGCAGAGGCAGAGAATCTCCCTCAAGATTCTCAACTTGCTTCCAGCCCACAGGCTCCCCATGAGCCAGGAATCCAGATCACAGGAATGGGAGACTTCTCTGGGAGTGGAGTCATTATTGGGTGGAGAGCGGAACTTCCTGGGGGTGTTCAGCAGTTTGATGCCAATCTTCCTACAACTGTGACAGCAGCCCTTGGAGATGTTGTGCCATTTCAGGGTGGTGCAAGTTCAGAATTTCATCAAATTGAAGTTGGAGTTGCCGTCTGTCTCATAACCATTTTCTAACAATCGGAAGATTTGGGACGGCGATACTGTGCTTCAGATAACAAAATAAACATTAAAGTAGGGGCTGGGGCTCTAGCTCCGTTGGTAGAATGCCTACTTAGCATGCTCAAAGCCCGAGGCTGGATCATCAGCGCTACATAAACCCAGCATGGTGGTGCTTTGAGGGGCAAAGACCAGAGGATCCCAAGTTCAATGCGATTAAGTGATCTTTCATATCGGACCCCATCTCGACAACACTAGCAAGAGCAACAACAGATTCTGTCTTTGAAAAGCCCCCTACACAATTTGGAATGCCTGTGATAAGAAAGCAGGATGGGGGAGTAACTTGAGGAAGAAAGGAGGCCAGCTGGGGAAGGCCACCAGGGAGCAGAAGGCTGAGCACAAAGTCCGAGGACACACAAGGAGGAAGCCTCTTTGATGAAACCCAGGACTTGGCGTACGAACCTGAAAAAATGAATTCCAAAAGCAAATCAGAAAATCCAAAGAAATCACATTAATCTAAAAATTTCACAAAAAAAAGAATTCAAAAGAAATCATTATGTGATATGATTTTGGTGGATTAATTCTTATTAATTTTTCATGATCTCGGGATTAAATATTTTGAGGATACTAATAAGAATAAGAACCTCTCCGTACTGTCATTAACCGAACACATAGTGAGCTTGTGGCGACTGCCTCCAAGTTTCAGGAGCCATAAAAAGTGTCCTTGGGGGAGTAAAGTCCTTTTGTTTCCTCTGAGATAAGATACATGGGTAGGAGGCTCAGGAACCCTCGGTGTGCCATTTTATTAAGTAGTGTCCAAAGAGCATGGTTTACGAGAAACTTCCACGGAGAAGCATTTCTAAAAGAGATTAACTTAAGGAGTGAAACTTAAGGACCTGGGTATGTAGCTGGCAGGCAAGTAACCTCAGTTTGGCCCTCATTACCACATAAACCACGTGTGGGAGGTAAAGGCGGGGGATCAGAGATTCAGTGTCAGACTCCGCTGTAAAGCAAGCTCAAGAACAGCCCTGCCTGCCACGCGATTTGAGACCATCTATATATTTTAATAATACTGGCTTGCACTTTAAAATACAGATTACTTGATACAGAATGTTGCAGATCGGTTCCCCCAGAGGTGGCTAAATTGCTAGTTATGCTGAAAAGAAAGTCAGCTCCATGTCTTCCCGAGTGATCCATGGGTTGGCTAGCAGCCAATGTGGGGAATGAAATCCACCCCACCCTGAGTTCCTGGGTGCACAGGCTGCGTGGCTCCGGCAGCTTCTGTGCCTTGTCTCTGAAGTTGGTGCCTATGTCAAAAGGCTCCTGAAATACAATTAAAAGAAAAGGAATCCACTCCTTTTTAGTGGCAAAGCAACAAGCGTTATTCACTGTCCCTGTGAACCATGCTCAGCCTGATAAACTCCGATGGCTAGCGATAATGACCGTCAACATTCATTTACATATGCGACATTCACATGGGAAGGGCATTCATTGTGTCTTGTAATTATTAAATCTCATGGCCTGAGCGTTATTATCAACATTTTAAATGAAGAAGCCGAGTCTTAAGAGTTCTAGTTTGGCCAGGCAGTGGTGGCCCACAGCTTTAATCCCAGCACTTGGGAGGCAGAGACAGGTGGAGATCGGTGAGTTCCAGGTCAGCTTGGTCTACAAAGTGAGTTCTAGGACAGCCAGGAGTATTAACACTGAGAAACCCTGTCTTGAATCGCCCCCACCCCCTTAACACACACACACTAAAAGAGCTCTATTAGGAGCCATGAGAAACAGATTGCAACCAGTGTTCAGATGTTACACCATCCAGTAAACAAAAGAACAAGACAGGCCTCTAAATGTCCACAGTCCTTATGGGACAACAGCTCCGGTTATGAAGCATGGCCCAGTATATATTCTATATATCAAAAACTACATTGCCAAATGAAAAGTCAATCCTCCCGGCCACCCACAGACACATGTGCCGATAAGATTGAGAGGCAATCATGAGATGACATACTACACATCACATGAGATTACACACTACAGTGCCGGTATTGGGGAGACACCAAGCTGCTTCAGCCAAAGTGAGGCCCAGTTTTCAGTGTCAATGGTCGTACAGACCTTGTCTG